AAAAAAAAAAAACAAAAACAAAAAAAACATTATTTTATCTATTTTGATGATCTAAAAGTTAGTTTAGAATTCTTCTTCAGTCATCGTACTACAGAATGCTAAACTATGGGTTGGCAAATATTTTGGTTAACAGAATCCTGAATAACAAGGCCAGGCTGTATTTAGGTTCCTTTGTTGATATTAAAAATAGCTAAGTCACTCTTGCAAAATTAAAGTTCCATGAAATTGCGATACTGTGCAAGCCTATTTCAGTGATAATTCCGGTTATACTACTCTGTTTATCTAAGACTTCCCCTTATGGTTTGTTTTAAGGGGACACCTAAAAAATGTCTTACGCAGTCAAGACAGGCAGTTTATAAATGTATTGGGTCGCTCCAACATTAGTGACTTTAGTTAATAAAGCTCTTGTTTTTTTTTCCTGCTTCATTTTTCCTTCATAAAAGCTCTTGTTTTAAATTAACTTATCTGAATTTAATTGATATTAAGATTTTATTTAAATCATGCATCATAAAACCAAAACTTCCTCAATTGAAAAATCAACTTTTACTAATTTTTTTTTACTCTTTGATTTGAACGTGGTAACATAAGGTAAGAATTTAACAAGAATAATGTATCCTGATCCAACCATGGAAAATTTCCCCTTCAAATTAAAAGCAAATGTTTTAAACAGAGGGAATGTACATAAACAGATGCTGTGGAAGACTGCTTAGTTTACATTTCATTTTCCATTTAAAACTACTAGGAATTAAAATACACGTGATTTTTAAAAATCTTAAAAAGAAAACAGAACTCATACAATTATTTATGTCACCCAATGTAAGCACCTCTTAATTTTTAAAAACTGCTATTTTGAATCAAAAGATCATAATAAAAAAAAATACATATTTTTTTCAGATGGAGTTTCACTCTTGTTGCCCAGGCTGGAGTGTAATGGCACGATGTCAGCTCACTGCAACCTCTGCCTCCAGGGTTCAAGCGATTCTCCTGCCTCAGTCTCCCGAATAGCTGGGATTTCAGGCGCCTGCCACCACACCTGGCTAATTTTTTGTGTTTTTTAGTAGAGACAGTGTTTCACCATGTTGGCCAGGCTGGTCTCGAACACCTGACCTCAAAGGATCCACCTATCTCGGCCTCCCAAAGTGCTGGGATTACAGCTGTGAGCCACTGCGCCCGGCCCATAATAAAAATATCATGGAGGTGTGTTTTTTACAACTGAGTTTACCTAATTTCCCAACACCCTAAAAGCATAAGGGTAGAAGAGAAACTGAAAATCATCATGCAACCAGAGTTAACAACTATCTTGCAAAATTCATATACTTTGTTTTAAAAACAAAATATCAAGGAAGAGCAGGTTGCTATCTCAACAGCCTCTTTTTTTTTTTTTTTTGAGACGGAGTTTCGCCCTTGTTACCCAGGCTGGAGTGCAATGGCGCGATCTCGGCTCACCGCAACCTCCGCCTCCTGGGTTCAGGCAATTCTCCTGCCTCAGCCTCCCGAGTAGCTGGGACTACAGGCACGCGCCACCATGCCCAGCTAATTTTTTGTAGTTTTAGTAGAGACGGGGTTTCACCATGTTGACCAGGATGGTCTCGATCTCTTGACCTCGTGATCCACCCGCCTCGGCCTCCCAAAGTGCTGGGATTACAGGCTTGAGCCACCGCGCCCGGCTCAACAGCCTCTTTTTAATTGGTCTACATCAACACAACCAAGTCAGGCAGGCAGTCGGACAGAGCCAACGTCTGTGGGAACCTACAGAGCTTCCTTCTCTCTGGGGATGAGGACAATGAAAAAAGGTGTTCTGTTTTCCAGTAGTCCTGTAAGAGGAGCCATTGAGCTGGGCTGTACAACCAGACAACAGAACAGAGGAAAATTCACATCAAAGCAAGGGCGCATGCCAGGGTAATATGCAATAAAACCCTCTGCCAAAGCATTAAGAAAAAAAAAGCAAGGAGGTGGAGAGAACCTGCTGGACCACCTTGTTGTTAACACAGGGAGGCAGGAAGAAACAAAATCTGCCTCTATTCAGGAGCGGAGAAAACAGTCCTAGATATATTGGAGTATTCCTATAGACATGTTTATGAGCATACAGACAAATTATCAATGAACTAAACCCAGAAAACAGTGTTCTATACGTTGGCGTATTCCCATGTAGACAGACATGAGTTAACCATTAACTAAGCACCAAAAGGCAAAGTATTCTAGAGACACAGCTATATAAGAATTTAGACGCACATTTCCAATCAATAAAATCCAATGGTTTTACAGTGAGAAAAAAACCTGCTGTTTGAAATAACATCAAAGAATTGGGTAAAGGTGTGATGAAGTTTTATCCCCTCCTCTTTTCCTTATACCCTTGTTGACAATCTGATTTCATAGGTGTCCCTCTCACTTGCATGCGCACACACAGACACACACACACACATACACACCATTAGGTCTCCAGAAACAAAGGAGGGTCCTTAATTCTCCGGCCTGTGGAAGCACACACGCCCCCCTGCCCACAGATGGTGACTCTCATTAATGAGCAAGCCGAGGGAAGAGGTCTCCATCCTGACCACTGCCATACACACTGTGACAACGGGGCACGAGACAAGCGCCACAAAGAAGTGGAGGAGTGGACCGGGACCAGGAAAACACTGCCACGCCGCGACCCGCAAGGCGCGCGCCCACCGCCGGCGCGGAGGCAGCGTCCTCGCCATCCTCCTCCTTGCCTCCCAGCTCACCCCAGCCGCCTCCCACGCCCGGGAACCCGACGCCGAGGCTCGGGCAAGCAGGACGTGCGGGGGCTCGCGCACCTTCCCTCTGTGATCTCCCGGTGACAGCCCCGCTCTGCCCTTCGAGCCGGACTCACCCTCCAGTCCCCGGGTCGCGCCGGACCCTCCTCCGCGTCCCTCCTCAGCCTGGGGCCACTGCCTCACCCCTACGCCCCGCGCCCGGCCCGCCGAGGCGCCGGAGAGTGTGTAGGGGTAGGCAGGCGCGGGCCCGCGGTTTCCTCAGCATCCCGAACCCGGACCGGCTGGGTTCCCAAACCCCAGTCTGGGGGCGGCGGCCCACGGCGCCCCCGCCCTCCCTAGCTCACTTACTCGGGCGCGCCAGCGACAGTGCCAGACGTGCGGAACCGTCAGCGTCCTGCAGCGGGCTGCGGGCTGCAGGCGGCGAGCGTCTGTCCGGACTGAGCGCAGCTGAGGTGGCGGCGGCTGACTGCGCTCGGCGGCCCCTCGCGAGGGGCGGGCCCGGCGGGGGAGGGGCGGGCGCCGCGCCTCTCATTCATGCAGCGGGGGCGGGGCGAGAGACCCGGATGCCCGGGCAGCCTCCGCCCATCTCGCGCAGGGCTCGGCGGCTTCAGAGTGTGTAGTGCGCATGCGCGCCGCTCCTTGGCCAGGCCTGGTGCTGCCACGCCCGCTGGCGCTGGGCCGGGTTAGAGCTACGCGGGACAGACGTTTTCCATTGACGGTTTAGTATTTTTGCGTACCTACAAGTATTTTTTAAAGTTAAAGCTTGGAACGCCACCTCCTTCCTAGCATCCAACTTGACAGTCCCCGGGGACACAAGGATGGGCACCTGGGTTTCCATTAGTTTGATGGGGAGACGGTGCGCACCGCACCCTCCTCAATTTGCCTCTTCTGCTGCAGCCTCTCAGCTGAATGCTAGCACCTTGGTGATAGCATTCAGCTGAGAGGTGAATGCTTGGTGCAGACTTAAACTCTGCCCAGATAGTGGAGAGAGGTGTGTTCGAGAAACAGTGCATTCCTTTGTTTACATCCACTCTTCAAACTCTGGCTCCCATTCTACAGGGCAGACAATAAATTGACCTCCGATTTTGGGAGGCTAAGCTCTTATTGCAATACCAAGGCCTAGGGTCTAATACAAGGATCTGGGGAGTCCTCTCTTGTCTTTAGCAGGCAGTGTATTCCGCAGATACTGTCTTGTTCCCGTCGCCTTGTCACTGTTACTCCTGGGGCACGGAAGTTTCTGGAGAGGCTGGGAGCCTGCAGAGGGAATGGCTGTGAAGCTCCACAGCTGAGTGTGTGTGCACCGCAGCTCAGGGCTTGCAGAGATGTCTGCCCCCTCTTCTTCAGTCCCCATGTATCCCCCTAGAAGTTCTCCTTCCCTTTCTTAACCTCTGAGACCCTGTCATACAAACCATAAACACCTCAGTAGCTTAACTTTGGGAAGCAAAAGTCACCATGGCAAGCGCCTACAGGCATGTTCCTTCTGCTTTGGCAAACCATTAACCACCAACGCAGGGAGGAAGTAAAGAGGTAAACATTAGTGAACGTCTCAAGAAGTCATCTGCCACCCAATGATCACAGTCCCCCAAAGCGATAGAAGGGTGGAGACTGGCAAAAGGAAGGGAGTGGGAGACCTCTAGAGCTGCCTGTGCCAGGGCTGTGCTGGGGAACCCTGCCCTCCTGGCTCTCAATCATAGCAGTTACCAGGAGGGTCTTTTCAACTCTGCTTTGCTCATACCTCTCACTGTGTCTAAAAGCTCCCCTCATTTCTCCCCCGGGCTGTTGCAGAAGTCTCAATCCATTCTCATGCAAATCTATTCTCACGGTTTTCAAATCTGCCTGTGTTTGTTGTCTTTTTCTCCTTCCCGGCCCCATCTGGCTCCTTGAGCCTTATTTTCCAGCCATTTACAGAACAGCACCGTGGTGTTTCACCTCGGTAGTCACCAAGGTGACTCCTGTTTCTTGCTGTTCCCCTACTAGGAAAGCAATACTTACCAAGCAACATGCAAAAGTTGCTTTTTTCTCTAAAAATCCGCAGATGCTTATTAGGGGAGTGAAAATACTGTGTCTGATACTATAATGGTGGAAACATGTGGTGACACATTTGTCTAAACCCATGGAATGTATAATACGAGCAGCAAACTCTAATGTAAATATGGATTTGGAGTGATAATGATGTGTCAGTGTAGGTCCATCAATGGTAATAAATGCTCCAGTGGGGGAATGTTGATAATTGGGGAGGCTGTGTATGTGTAAGGGGAAGGGCTAGAGGGGAACTCTGCACATTCCTCTCACTTTTTTGGCAAACCTAAAGCTACTCTAAAAAAAATAAAGTATTTACAAAATCATTTTTTAATAAAGTATTTTTTCTGCCCCACTTATTTATTTATTTTTTTTTTTGAGACGGAGTTTCGGCCTTGTTACCCAGGCTGGAGTGCAATGGCGCGATCTCGGCTCACCGCAACCTCCGCCTCCCGGGTTCAGGCAATTCTCCTGCCTCAGCCTCCTGAGTAGCTGGGATTACAGGCACACGCCACCATGCCCAGCTAATTTTTTTGTATTTTTAGTAGAGACGGGGTTTCACCATGTTGACCAGGATGGTCTCGATCTCTTGACCTCGTGATCCACCCGCCTCGGCCTCCCAAAGTGCTGGGATTACAGGCTTGAGCCACCGCGCCCGGCCTCTGCCCCACTTATTAACAGACCTTCCTTGGGAATTCCCACCTGTTCCCTGTTCCCATTTCCCTCTCAGCACTAGGCTCCCTTCAAGGTCCTTGCTGATTTGCATATTTTCCTACCCCAATGGCCAGAGGCATGTGGGTCTGCCATGGCTGTTGGTGGAGGTGATGTTCCCTGGCGGGTTGGGGAGGCTCCACGGGAGGAGGAAGGGCTGGGCTCCTTTTCTTTGTTCTTCCTTCGTTTAGCTTCCTTCCTTTCCCCTGTGTTTGGAAACCCATTTTGCTTGTTTGTTTAGAAAGGTTAACTAGTAATTCACTAGTCCAAACAGGCTGAAGGGTAGAGGATGGAGTGGCTCACTTCATGTGTTTTATTCTTGCGAAAATTAGGGGTGAGAGGGAAAGAGAATGAGAGAATGAATGTAAGGAGGAGGGGCAGTGTCCAGTTGCTGTTTGCAGGGAGACTCATCTTACTAAAATTTTGCTGAGTCATCAGCTAGTCCAATTGGTTTTTAGGGTCAAGGAGAAAGTTTTCCCTTGGGGACTGGACAGGTGGAAACTGGCTTCGCAGTTTCCACAACATATGGCAGGATCCTGCTCTTCTGTCCCCTGCAGCGGGTTGTCCCGTGTCCCCCTTGAGGAAGAAATTGCAGTTTTTGTCCTCCTGGTGCTTCCAGCTGGAGGTTCACCTGCTAGTCCCTGATCCTCTTTGCTTAGCGATGCACAGGGGTCTACTCATCCCCCTGCAACTCCCACCCCCCACTACTCTAGGCAAAATGCAAGTGGTGAGAGAGTGTGGGTGGGCAGTTCTTTCTCTGGAGGGTGTAGGTGGGTACCTCAAAACAGCAGCCATCTAGGACCTGAAGTGGTGGCTTTCGCAGCTAACATGTTCCCTTGTTCCATGTGATGGGCAGGGTTAGGGTACGAAAGACCTCACTGTTTGGGGTTTCAGAGGATGCCCCTCTTTCTATCCCTCCTATCCATAGTTCCCCCTATTTCCTCCCTTATACCCCTTTTAAGCATTGTTCTCACCCCCAATCCATCTCCAAAAAGTGACCTTACCCACATGGTCAGAAGTCCTTCAAGACTCTCCTGGAAAAGAAATCACATCTACTTTTAAATAAAATGTATGACTAATTTTGGAACACTGAGAGAAGGGGGTTGGTTTCAGCCATCTTTGGGTCAAGTGCTCAATACAAGTTTGCTGAATGAATGCCTGACTAGTCAAGACAAAATCAGTTTTTCAGACAGAAGCTAGAAATCAAAGGTTGCCTGTAGCCCCACCCTCTGTCCATACACTGCACCTGATGGGGTCTGCCCATCTGTTGAGATGGCACAATTTCAGAAAAACATCCCTCCCACTGGTCAATCATTTGAAAGCTTAATTATTCAGAGTTCTAAATGACCCCTTTCAGGATTGACCATACAATGATTTGACCCCTTGGACTGTACCCTTAGAGGGGCCCCACTATTTCTGTGAGAGCAGTGGATGTTCTGTGTTCCCCAAACCTCTTCATCCAAGAATTCCAAAGAGACTCCTCCTGCCTAGATCTCTCCCGATGGTCCTCTCGTCCTCACAGCCCATGGGGAACTCTTGCTGGGGTGTGACCCTGTCCACGGAGGGGTAGAATTGCTTCTTAATGCAGAATGTGTGTGCACAACTGTGAGACAGCAATAGTGGGGGAGAAAGCGTAAGTTTCTGTGTGCATGGTACCCTTGGGACTGGCTGTGTGCCCACCCACAAGCCAGCAAAGGAGGTGGGAACCAGGGATTCTGTTTACCCAGCCACCAACCAGTCATGTGGCCTTTCTGGCACGCATAGGCCCAATCACCCAGAACTCCTGAAAATATAAATGTTCTCAGGATCTCATGTGGGAGCCTCTTAGCTCAGAGCAGCCGCAGATACAGGAGAATGGAAGCATGATTTCCCAGGGGGGTAATACAACCTGCTCAGACTCACTTTTGGATTGGAGGATGCCCATGTCAGTATGGATTCTCCTAAGAGCAGATCTTGAGACAAGAGCTTGGATATAGGTAATTTTTTTCGGAGGTGATTCCAGGAAATAGGAGTGAAGAAAGGGGGAAAGCAAACTGTGAAAGGGAGAGAAGCTAACATTAAGGTATGTTGATGGGCCAATCACTGCTATAGGCAACTGAGGCTCAGTCCAGCTAGGCGTCCACTGAGAAATCTTGTAGAACAGCCCTCAGCATCATCTTCCTGGATGACAAGGAGGCTAGAGTATTTGTCCACTGACTTCAGTGTCTCTGTTGCTTGCAGATGACCATCAGGGTGCCTTCTTTTCTTTTCTTTTTTCCCTTTTTCTACTGGGCAGAGCTGGGCATCTGGCAGGGCTGGCTTTGTCCCCTGGGCCTCTGGCTCCAATGGCCCCTGTGCCCGGCAGTCCAGCTCTTGGAACCTGGCTGAATGGCAGCCTCTTGGGGGCCTGGAGCTCTGGCAGCCCAGCTGTGTGTGGTGTCGGGTTCCCTTCCCTCCCCTCCCCACCTTTCCCTTCCCCTCCCATCCCTTCATCTTCCTGTCTTTCTTTTAGTCTTTATTTTCTTTCCTTCCTTCCTCCTTCCCTCCCTTCCTTCCTTCTTTCCTTCCTTCCTTCCTGTCTTCCTGTCTTTCTTTTAGTCTTTATTCCCCTCCCTCCCTCCTTCCCTCCCCTCCCTCCCTCCCTCCCTCCCTCCCCTCCCTCCCTCTCTCCTTCCTTCCTTCCTCCCTTCCTTCTTTCCCCAGTCTCACCCTTGTCACCCAGGCTGGAGTGCAGTGGCGTGATCTATACTTACTGCAACCTCTGCCTCCTGGTTGTTCAA